CAAATTAATTTACAAATGTAATTCTAGAATTTAGATTTAAGACATATTCGCACAATTTTATTGGAATAAGATCAAAGATCAACCATACACATTAAGCATAAGACAGTAATCAATCCGTCAATAAAGTGAAATTGAGATTAAAATTCAACAACTAGTTTAATCTAACGATAGAAAAAGTATGATTGGATCTATGAAGGATATAATAATTGTTAAACCAATCTTAACAACAAATAATTAAAATTGAAACTCAATAAATAGTTTAATTGAACAATGGAAAAAATATGATTGAATCCATGAAAAATCTTGCAAATATTAAATCAATTTCAATATAAATTTAAGAGAATGAAAATCCAAATTCTATGATTTTTTGACAATGAAAAAATCAAATTAAATGAATAAAAGACATGAAATCACCAATTCCAATCGAGTTCCTTCGTAGCTTCACCAAATGTTTTAGTTCTCCATGAGTTTCTTGAGCCAAATGGGAGAATAATGGTATATGGGGACCTTCGCCATATGTATTTTGCTGTTAATTATTTGCAGGAGTTGAAAATTGGATGAAAATGACGTCCAAATTGGTTTCCAAAAAAGTTCTAATCAAATAAGGAAAGTTGCATTCGCGTGCGGATTTTTTGTCTCTACACAGCAGTCAGTAATTTGATTATAAATTTCTCTTTCGATATCCTATTTAGAAGATTCAAAATGCGTTAAAAAGATAACTCAAAGAGATACAACTTTATTAGAAATAGATCTTTTCCAATTCTGACTTTTACTATGCCAAAAATGGATCTCAATTTTGGCTAAAAATTTGGAATATATTTTGTGCTAATTGGAAATTGATTTTGATAATATTCAATTTCTTTTTGACTTCTAATTACTTCCAATCGACCCTTAGCATTCTTGAACCTTCATTGTGAGCTCCGACACAATTTTTGAATATTTACACTTTAGTCCCTGAATTTTCACTTTCTTCCATTTTGGTCATTTTTCGCTCTTCTCTTCAATTTTCCACCGTTTTCACCCATTTTCAACTTAAACCAAGATATAGAAGTACTTAGTGCATTTAGACGTCAAATAATTATAAAAACGCAAATATTAATGGATAAAAAAGGTAACAAATGTGCTATTATCAATAGCCGTCCAAATGATATGAAGCTAATGTAACTCGATCTTGAATAGGGATTTCATGTAGTTGAAAGAATTGGTCTGCCTTGCTCAGCCAAATGGTTGGGTCTCCTTTTCCTTTATAGCGACGAAAATCAATCTTAACCGTTTTTGGAATATAAGATCCTGACATTGAACCCTCAGAAGCATTTGCACGAACAACTGGTGTACTATGGGCTGCTGTTGAGTCTTCCACCCTGCTTGGGTTTGCATTCTAACAGGAGAGTTCCCAGCACGCTCGCTAGTCTAAATGGAAATTTGTCAGTAAGTTTACTGACTGCTTCGGATAATTTACGCAAGATATCCTCCTGAACTATCATCGTTCCTACGGCCACTATTATTAAATTGAAACCAGCAGAAAATGAACGAAAATAAACAGAAGCAAGAAATGAAAAGATAAATTCAATATGGAAAACACATTGAAGGAACTAATGAAAGGGAAATTTTATTATTCATCAAGTTCAATTGATATTGGAAATACATTGATCTATTTATAGACTAAATTATCTAACAAACTAACAAACTAAAGAAGGGACTAGAAGGAGCTAGAATCTGGAAGAAGAGCTGGAACGTGCTGGTGAACGTGAGCTGGAGAAGGGTCTGGAAGAAGCTGAGCTCGAGGAGAAGTTGAACGTGTGAGTTGCATATGCCAACTGCAGGAGCTTGCTTGCATATATTTTAACAGCCACCTCCAATTGTTCCAACCTGTGATCCATTTCCAGGATTTGATACCACTGCGGTACAGCCTTGCTAGGGGTTAGCTTTTCCTCTACCTATTTTGGAGTAAAGAAAAACAAAGATTGTCTAGCTCATTTGAGGGAGCAAGAAACTCCAATTTCTTATGTGAATCAAAAGTATTTCAGAAAAGATCCTTTGCGTTTATTTCATTTCAGAATAAATAGCAGAGAACTTCAACAAATTCCCACAGAAATAAGAACGCAGACCCAACGTTCACGAGTTGGTTTTAACTACCCAATAACTAAGCTAAACTTATTCGAATATCTATACATTCAAATAAAAATGGAAAATTATTAACATCAGAAAATAAAACTCCTATCACCATCTTCATCTTCAGAATCGTGTCCCTCTACCTTACGACGAATTAAGGGCCGTCAATTTTTGGAACAGTGGGGCAAAAATTTTTGGAACATGTTGCATGCTCCAGCACTTCATTCTGTTGCTATGTCTACAATTGTGTTGCTACAAAAGGCCGCACCGATGGGCGCAGTTGCGTTGAATGCATCTTTGTTGAGGGGGCTCAGAATTGTATCTTCTTCCTCACCTTCTAGTGGTCTACGGGAATGGAGCATGCAACAATTAGCCGGAGGGTGCACCCACTCCAATGCTAGTGGTTACAGATTAGGATCGACCTGCGATGAATAGACTAGTTTGGAGTAATTAATGTTGGGGACTCTATCTGATTTTTTCCCCTAAACATACTATTCTAGACCTCCTTGGATCGAGAATGGCTACTAGTGGCGACCCATCTGGTGGGATATCGACTTTAATGATGTCCACTAATAATGGCATTGACATCTTTGCAGCAAAAGAGGCATTTGGTGGCGGAGAATTTGGTGGCAAAGACATGGAATAGGGCAACTGGACTCTCGACCAAATCATCCACCCGAGCTTTGTTGATGGAATTCAAAATAGAATTGTTGGGTAAAATAGAATTCAAAATTAGGTTCTGTGATTTTTTTTTATTGTTGTGGCGAGTTTTGGCTGCGACGACAACGGCAGCGGGAAGAGGTGGTGGTGGGAAGATGATAGTGGAAAGAAAAGGGAAGAGATTTTCTTTTTTAATTTTTATTTATAATTTTATAATTATTTTATTTGGTACTCATTTGAAAATTTTGGAGCTATAGTTGCAATTAGTTTTTTTTATTTTTATTTAAATAGAAATGTATATTTGTCATTTCATAGTTTTTTATTGAGAAAATAAACGACAGAGGGGTATCCCGTACTAAAAGTTTCAAACATGGAACTTTTGTACTATTTCTAATAAGTGGAGGGTTTTGCATAGCAATTCTAATAGGTAAGGGGATTTTCGCCAATTAGTGATAGTTTTGGACGAGAAGAATATGGATTTTTTTTTGGTTTCCATTTGATACTAAACTCTTGCTTCCCATTTTTCATCAAATTCATTTTTAATCACATATTTTATAAAATTCACAATTTTTAACTACAAATTTAATCAACTTTTTATTAAAATCGACTAAAAATCTGATTTTATTTTTTAAAACCAAAAAGGGGCTAAATTGAAAGTGTATGCAAATTGTGTGCCGATTATAATTGCCATCATTAACTTGCCAAATTTTTTTAGAATAATGTTATTCATCCTTACTGGGGTTGAGCCACAATCTATGTGACAATTACATGACATTAAATAATAAACTCAATTAAATGAGTCATGTGACTTTGTATTTAAATGAATCTATCATTTAATACCATATAATTGCCACATAGACTGGAGTTCAAACTCAATAGGGGATGAATAGTATTGGGAAGACGTGTTATTAAAAATGAGTTTACCATTCAAATAAGTTGTGCCTAATAACTGCTTACTGGCGGAAAGAACAGGAAATTTCGTTTTGAAAGTTTATGGTTCATAAGGAGTCAACTTTTCTTCGGTTTGTTGTCTTGGAATGGGGAATATAATTTATACTGGAAAGATTTTAATTTTCAATGATATTGAGGTAGTCAGTAGCCTGTTTAAATTATGAGAATGGTTTGTTCATTTTTCACATGGGTGACGTAATTTTTAAAGTTTCTATGGAGAATTGAAGAGGTACCCGAAGTTGAATTAACGTTGATTTCCACATTTTCTCTTGAACATGTGCTTTGTCAAAATTCAAATACGGGGTTATGAATACACGAAACCCATGTTCGGACACTCAATAGTCAATACCAAACACAAACAAAACCATGAAATGGTAAATTCCGATAAAATAGGAGACAACACTCACCAACTTCAGACAAACATGAAAGTCAGCATCTTGGAATGTATATCTGCATCAACATACTATTTTTATTTTTTATTTTTTTTAACTTCAATTTACAACAACCTATTCCTATTCAAACTACCTTTTCCAAGATCAAAACTAAAGCCTAGGAATTGGAGTTTGTGTCTAATAAAGTAATGTTATTTATCATCACGACGATGGAATATCGGTGATGTAGAATAATGAGATTTGAAGGTTCAATTTTTACGAGAGATGGGATGAGAGAGAATATGTGAAGAATAATGAGTCATTTGGTATTTATTTTCTTTTGAACATGTGCTGTGTCAAAAGTCAAATACAGGGTTATGAATACACGAAACCCATGTTCGGACACTCAATAGTCAATACCAAACACAAACAAAACCATGAATGGTAAATTCTGATAAAATAGGAGACAACACTCACCATCTTCAGACAAACATGAAAGTCAGAATCTTGGAATGTATATCTGCATCAACATACTATTTTTATTTTTTTTAACTTCAATTTACAACAACCTATTCCTATTCAAACTACCTTTTCCAAGATCAAAACTAAAGCATAGGAATTGGAGTTTGTGTATAATAACAGTAATGTTATTTATCATCATGACGATGGAATATCGGTGATATGGCAACTCATTATTCTTCACATATATTTCTCTCTCCTCCCATCTCTCGTAAAAATTGAACCGTTAAATCTCATTATTCTACATAGACTACCACATCACCGATGTCCCATCATCATGATGATAAATAACATTATTCGTATAATAAACTCAAATTTGAATGAAATAATGTTACATTTTCAGTTCTGCTGTTTCACTTCCATGCATCCAAACATGGTGCATGATCGTCAATTCGGGGGATCTGATCTTCTATTTTGCCAATCCTGGATCAGTGTACGCAGCGTGTGATTAGGTGTAAGAAGTGTATGATTCAGCCTCAAGTTAGTCATTGGTGATGTGTCATGACCCGTTCTTAGCCACCCTTCAATGGCATCTAGTTCGTAGGAAAACCCGTCTGCAGCTAGATGTGGGTTTTGCATCACATCCTGCACAATGGAGATAGTAACAATATGATTGCGAAACAAAATAAAATAAAGAAATCCCTTGTTTGGTTCAGTTAAAAAATTGGATTAAAATTTAAGTTAAAGTCAACAATTAATTTTAACCATATATATGAAGACGAACTTTTTAACCACACATTTCATCAACTTTTATCAAAATCCACTGAAAATTTGATTTTTATGTAAACCAAACAGGGGCAAAATCTTGAAAGTATCTTGTATAGCAATTCATATTTTGATCAATAGAAATATGGAGCATTTTGTATTTTTGTTAACTTTATTAGAGAAAGAGAGAGATTGTAATAACCTGATATATGGGACAGAGGAAAGCGCCAGGCACATTGCTCGAGTCCTCTATATCTATAAAATCTTCAACTGCAGATGTGTATTCTCCATTTGCAACTAGCTGGTCAGCCTTTTTCGTCACCTTATTGATCTCTCTCATCAGCCACCCAATATCCAACTCCTCGTCTATACCTTCGTTGGTTGACAAACACCTTATAGCTATGCTACAAAGTTCCATTGCCAAATCCAAAGGCCATTCTCCAGCCAAATGATCCAAGTCCCCAATGATAGCAGCAACGTCCATTGGTGTGGCACAGTTCCTACCAATCAGAAGTTGCCGCATTAAGTTTCCAAAAGCCCGGATGTCTGATTTTCTATCCAAATTATCATACGACCAAGGAGGATTCAAGCCATAAACTTTTGCAACATTGTGACGGTCCAGGATTATTTTTGAGGGACTCAAGTTGCCATGAATTAAGGGCCTGGGCAGGGCATTGTGAAGGAAGCCCAAGGCTGAGCACACTTCAGCTGCAATTCGTATTCTCGCGTGCCAACTGAGAGCCTTGTTTTTTCTTCTAGAGCTTCTTTCTGTTAGGAATAATGCATCATGCAGGCAACCATTGTGCATGTACTCGAAAATAATGCAGTTGAGCTCAGAGCAGAATCCAACCATGGCAAGTATATTCGGATGTCTGATTTGGCTAAGTATTTTTACCTGTGATATCAAGGTTATTATCAAACTTCAACTGAAATTGACGAGTTTTCCTTCGGAAAGAATTTTTAACATCAACATTTGTAGAGCAAATAGGATGCTTACACTGATCTTCATCGATCTCAATAGCATATAGAGCACATATTTTGATAGATTTAATAAATGAAGGGAATGAGATAATTCAAGTGTATCCTTTAAGATGCTAAGAAAAGTTGAATGAAACAGTACAAATTATTATGTCACTGAAGCAATACCTTAGCTATGAAGGCTTCGTGGGATGGAGCAGTTGCTGAATTGCACATTTTAATTGCAACTGTCATATGATTTAAACGGCCTTTATAAACATTTGTGAGTTGACCGCGCGACTTCAATCTTAAACCCTCTGAGAAATCTTCAGTGGCTGCTCTAATTTCGGCAGCAGTGAATTCTCTGTAAGCAAAACTCGAGGTGTTTATCCTGTCAGCGCCACCTATTGCATCTTTTTCTCTACAGAACTCGATTCTACGTTGGATGACATCTCTTTGCCCTCTCAATTCCTCAATTTCTCGAACCATATCAGTTCTTGTTTGCACTGCCTTCTCTAGTTGAACCTCAGCACATGATTTAGCAGAAGAGGATAACTGAAGTTTGTTTGAGAGTTCTCTTTGGAGTTCTAGAATTGAGTTCAGCTTACTTCTTTTTTCCTCGACTACACCCTGAAGTTCAAAGAGTTCGTCTTTTCTGGAGTCTAGTTCTTTCTTTAGATCAGCATTTTTCAGGACCTCTTCACTTAAGCAAACTTCAAGTTCCATAGCCTATTGAAAAAAAAAAAAATCTAAACTACTGAACGACAGGAATCACAAATTATGCTATACTTGGTAGTCGGAAATGTTAATTTACCCGGGTATTACATAGACTAATAGCCCATTCTGCTTTTGCATGCCTTTCCTTATTCACATTTGCTTCTTTTCTGTTCAATTGGATTGCATCTTCAGCTCTTCGTATTTTGAGTTTAAGAGCTTCAATTCTTTCTGCTCCACTCTAATATTGTGCCAAAAGAATCAGTCTACTTAAGTATCATGCAGTAAATGAAAAGAGAAGTAAACGAATTTTCTTCAAAACACAATAAAGCTGTACAAAAAACAAAACAAACTCAATTCTGGGAACACGGATTTGTATAAAGAACTCGAAAAGTTACCAAATTTTCCTGCATAACTGAATCTGCAGGATTTTCCTCCATTGCTTTATAATTTGCTTCTTCTTCCTCTTCATTTAAAGCCAACAGTTGATTAACATATTGTTCAATCTCTTCACTGTATTTCTCCCACTCATCAGGTAAACTATTGCTTCTTGAAGTAGAAGGTGAATCCGGGGATTGTCCATTTGTAGCGCTATCCGGAAAAAATCTTCCTAGCAAACTTCTAAAACCATTCCTCTCTGTAAACTTGGCAATGGTGTTTCCTCTGTCGTCCTCTATAAATCCTTCATTATTTTCTTCTCTCAACGAAAGCAATCTCCCTCCATATATAACAAAAAGCTCACAAAAATGGGGTTTGTGACGAAGAACATAAAATGATCCACTAATTGCAGTTCTTGATTTCCTGTTAGGAATATAATCAAACACAAGAATGACAATACCTTAGCAAGCAAAGACAAATAAAAATCCTCAAAATTCACCAAACTTTATCACATTAAGTCGAAAATTCAACAATGTGCCTACCAAGCTGAGGACTTTATAAATGTTAATGACATGACTAATTTGGTTATCCGTTGACTCGGAATTATTTCTACCAATTGCTTGTAAATAGGCTGCTCATTTTTCTCCAACTTAAAAACTTGAGCTTTAATCTGCAAGCAAAATTAAGTAAAAACCCAAAAATTAATTACTTTAAATAATTGAAATAAACTATTCCAAGAACATAATTTTTATTTAATCCAACCCTTCCACATGCGGCTATAAACTGGGATATTATTTGTTCGCTATTTTCTTCCTCACTCTTGTCAAGATCTTTCAGCTTCTCTTCACTCACAGAACTTGCAGGAAGTTTCCCAACTGCAATTACCAAAAAAAAAAAAAAAAAAGGACGCATAGTTGCGTAAGTATATAATCAAGAAAACAAAAGAAATTAATAGCAAATTAATGACTTACGTGGTGTGTAAACATAATCTTTGCGGATGTTGTTTGCTGCGTGGATAATCACTATGCTGATTGAATGATTAGACCATTTTCTTAAAGCCCATTGTAAGGTTGAAATCCCGTCATAAAGGTCTCTTCCAATGGCTACATAAACTTTCTCTGGCTGAATTTCCATAATTCCCTACCTTTATTTTCTTTGCATTGCTCAAGAAAGTCACTTGTGCATACTCAGATGGCAAAGCCACTATCTAAATTTATTCGTTTCTCATTCAATCTACTCCCTCGATTTCGGCTTCGGTACCCTTTAGAAAAACACTCATCACAATCATGGTAGGTGTGATAAAGTAGGCACGAGTAAATCCGGAGTCCTGTTAATTTGAAGGGTAGAAAATGTGAAAATTGTCGCAGGCTTTGAATTTGTGTAATTCAAAAGGAGATTATCAAAAAAGGTTGTTAGAATTTCATTTGTTCGATTATGCTTTGCAAGACGGCCATGACTTTTATTCCTAATTGCCTTCAAATTGAGACATGGGGTCCTCTCTATGACTTAAATATCTACGACTTCCTTGGTTTGATTTGAAGTTTCGAATTTTCTTGGTGTTTTCTTCCAATCCTTAACCGTTCACGTCTAGTTTACTGTTGCAAGAGAGACCGCACAGCCATACATTGTTGATCACATGGATATCCTAGGATATACTTCATGGAAATATATTGTAACCGTAAAATCCCATCTTGTGCAGATAATAACTATACTATATGATTTTTAATGTCATTCGGTGTAATTAACAATAGATTAAGAAATTCTTGTCGATGTCTTTCGCGTAAGCTTAAATTCAATTAAGACATTAATTAATTATTATATGTACATATTTAGGAAATATTAGAAGACGAATAATGTTATTCGCAGTAGCTCACTCACTCTACGTGACATATAAATAGTATATGGTTATTTGATGAATAAGTAAATAAAAAACTATCACATTAGAATATCAAATAACCACTTGTCATGTGTGACGACTGTCGTAATGCGCGATTACGAATAACATTACTTAATAATCGAGTGGTCATGCAGTATTGACAAATGGTGGTGATGTTTTTGTTTTATTGTTACTGATGGGAAGAAATACATTCCATAGGTCCCCAATTGATTTACGGAATACGCATGACGTGTCATGATTTAATTATACTATGATAATTGACACAAAAACCACTGTCTTTGTCAACCTTTGTAATTGTTTAATATTATATATAAAATAATGTTAATAAAATGACCTAAAGGGGGTGTAGCTCATATGGTAGAGCGCTCGCTTCGCATGCGAGAGGCACGGGGTTCGATTCCCCGCACCTCCATTATATTGCCGACTGATTTGATGATGCTTAGAATTACTCTTTTGCTTTATCCTTTAATAATGGAATCTCTCGTGTGCTAGAAAATACAAAAATATAACTGAATTGTTACGTCTACAATATTAGAATGGACAATAAATTAATTATTTGAAAAAGTATCTCCACCTCGTCTCTATGCTGCTAAGATTTTCTCAAAAAACCTATTTCAATAGAAGATCTTCGTTTTTAATTTTAAAACATCGTTAAAATAGATGAAATATTTTAGAGTGCGATTTTCGATGCCTCGCCTGATTCGTGCATGATGAAATATAAGGCGTGGAGTGGATACTGAAAGCGCAATTAGTCAATTTTACCATTGCAAAAGCATAGCACTCACCTTGTATATGCCAATTGGATTAAGCTACTTGTAAATTCAATATGTACTTCTTGTTTGAAACTCCTATTTGTCAAAAATCTACCCTTTATTTGAAAAAAATATTGTTAAAATCAATATTCAGAAATCTATCAACTCGCTGGAATGTCAAACTTGGTGTAAACAATTATGTATATATAGCATGATTCATGCCAAGTTAATATTCATTTGGATAGTTAGTTTCCGTCCGTAACGACCTCAACCTCTTTAATTATAACATGTTAACTATAGTGGAGAAATTTGAATTTAAAGACTCATATACACCTTTTTGCAGAAGTTAAAGACCTCAAAAAAAAGGGTAAAGTTGTGCTTACGCTTTTGCATTTAAAAAGCTCTTTCTAGGTACTATTTAAATTTGTCAAAATGGTCATGGGTCAACATAAAATATTAGATCATCTATCTTTTCAACCCCAATGAGTTGGAGGAGCATGGACAGTTTTGAAATTTCGAATAGTTGGACCTTTAACTCGATCAACTCGCAAAACTCGTTCGACTCGTCGAGTTTAGATATTTCTTAACTCAGGTAAAATTCGATAAATATTTTTCATTCATTCAAAAATCGAAGAGTAATATTATTCATCTCCAGTGGGGATGAAAACATAGTTTATGTGGCTTTCAATAATAGATTAAGTGAAATGTAAAATTAAATTATTCGTTTAATTTCACCTATCATTTAATGTCACATTAACGCCACTGTATTTTTATCCCCAATGGGGATGAATAGCATTACTCAAAATGAAAACCCTTTCAATTGCCAATAAATCCTTTAATTATTGTTACATAATTAATGCACAACAATTCCATTAATTGCTACAACAACTATTTACTTATCAATAAGTCATTATGCAACAACTTTCCATAAGCAAGAATTATCGTAACTAAATCAATAGTTCTTCAATTATCTAAAATCTTATACAATTATCTAAAATCTTAAAGTTACTCCAACTTTTAGTTTGGACTAATGTGGGTAGATTCTACTTATTTTATTGTACATATTATTTTTGGTAAAAAAAAAAAACATAGGAGATTAATCAAGCAAAAACGAAGAGATTTGGAGTTTAATTGGAGCACATGGGTGGAATTGTATAACTACCAGGAAGTTGAGGAGTTGATTGCTAGCTTTGAATAGCTGACTGGAGATCCCTTAGGTTTTGAGACCAATTTTAGCATTTGGAGAGTTTGGGATCATACGAAATACAAGTTGTGGGGATTAACTTAAGACATTTTCAGAATTTAAGATTTCTATGATGAAGAAAACAAAAGTTAGAAGACCAAATTTTAAAAGTTCGAGGACCAATGTGAACATAATTAAAAGATGAATGACCTAAAAAGAACCTAAAAGTTTAAGAGATCAAATTGGAGAAGATCGATAGTTGAATGACCAAATATGCAATAATGAAGAAAACTAGGGTTCGCGATCACGAGGAGATGAGGTCATAGTCCTATCACCTCATCTCTCACTTCTCCCAACGTTTTATGAGCATGACCCAATGCTTTGCGATATGGCTCATGCAACTCTTGATAAATTTATCGCATTGTTACGTCGAGGTGTTGAGAAGAGACCAAACACATGGCCACACCAAACAAGCCGCTTAAGCCTGATGGTTGAGGTCATATTCGTGATGTGTTGAGCAAGTTATGATCTCTGACACCTTCGACAACATGTAAAAAAATTGATGAGACATTTTTGCAAAAGTCGATTTGTAGTCGCATCAGTACTAATCAGTTTGAGACATGGTGTGGAAGGTTTGTCCATGATGATTAGTATATGACATCATTAAACTTGACCTGTAAGTCTTTGGGGTGAAGACGCATCTCCGACATCCAAGATTCCTCATCCATAATACTTTTGGCCTATAAATACTCATCATTTGTGTCATTTGAAGGGCAACTTTGAATGATATAATCTAAATTCGACTTCTATATTTCTTCTTTCATGTTTATTCTACACCTAAATATCATCCATAATTTGACTTGAGTATTTTGGAGCGCCTGTTTCTGCCTTTCACGAGTTTTTTTCCATGTATGCAGGTAATATACATATGGAAGTGACGGAAGTCATATTTGAAGATCAACAAAAGTAAAATTATCTTTTTAATAAAATTTTAGTGTGTTAACAAATGGTTAAAAAAGGTGAGGGTAAAATTGTCCATTAAGGACCTAAGTGCTACTAAAATTAAAGATTGAGATTGTAAATGCTCATATTTTGAAATGTTTGGACCAAGGTGCAACGTGCATCAATGTTTGGGGACACAATTGACTATGTGCACATCTCTCGTCAGCCTGCTTTTCATCATCGTTTTCTCGGACCATAAAATAACACGCTAACATTACCTTAAAAAAACACAGCAAAAGACTAGTAATAAATAAAAGATCGAATAATTTATTTTTCAAAAAATATGTAAGAAAAATTATATTTACACCTCAGTTTTTATTAGTCGTACTATATTTTAATTGCGTTTATAGTTTTCAATCTTTGTTCATTGTATTATTTATGTCCCTAATTTTTTTTCAATATATTCTTATCTTCAACCTTATATTAATTAATATATCACGCCTCTGATAATAGTTTCCGTCCAAAACGTTTGTTGGAAAAGCGTAAAATGAATGCACAAGTGCAACAAATTATTTATCTCTTACTTCAAAGGGATAACACCACTTGTATATCATTGTGTACAGACTGATGAAGTGAATTATATTATTGACTTCCCTTTGCTTAGCTTCGTTTTCCTTCTTTTTTTTTTCCCTCTCTCTTCCACATCACCTATTTGTATATAATTATGTACAAAATAGAATTACTCATTTCGAAGTATGCAAACCTTATAAGCAGGTGGCGAGAGGGGTTTTCCACATTTTGGGTAGGTGGACGTGGATAGGGGAAGGGAAGAAGATGATGCGTGTGTGTATATATAATTAAAACAAATAATATTTTTTTGGTCAACTAACAGTCATCCATATGGCCTTGTGCTGCAATAAAATGAAAGGTTTGGAACCGTGTGACACAAAATAAAGGTTTGGATAAAGTTTGAGACAAAAAGAAAGATTTGGGACCTTAACTTCAATTCTCCTTAATATTATGACGTTATGCATTTCAAAAATTTTCGTAGTTAAAATCAAGGATTGTAAAAAAAAAAAAATCCATTTAACACTATACTCGTGGATCCCGCCCCGAATGTGATGGGGATTACCCGCCTAATTGGGTAAACAGAGCGAGGCGGTGATCATTGCCGGAAGCAAGTGATGGGTACGGAAAATATGTTATCCGTCCATTTAAAGTTAATTTCAAATTAAGTTTTTNNNTATATATAGAGTGAATAATAATAATCACTAATTAAAGACATAAAAAAGATAAAAGCAGAAAATAAAATAAAATAAATAAACAAACAAAAAAATAAACGAGACGATAAATGGAGTAG